TTGCAATATCTTTCAGCAATTAATTCTATGATTTTTTCTTTTTTTATGATTTACTATAAGTTTTTAAGAAGTAGAGATGCTAGTTTAATGCAAACATAAGTTAATATTTTTATTTTTAATATCAATTTTTTTGTGTTAGCTTATATGTAACAAGTATCAAAGTGATTGTGATATCAATAAAAATATTTTTAAAAATGTCCGTTGGTTTTAATTAAAAGAAAAATATGATAAGATATTTTCTTTTGATACGAAAAAAATTGATTAAAAATCTAAGAGTTTTAAACTTATTTTCAAGTGACAAACGGAAACGAACAGACGTCTTTTATGTCTTATGAAGATCATATAATATTCCATTGCTATTTTTAGAATGTAATACGTAGAGCACATATTAGTTATCGACATTAGCGTGATAAAACAAATATATATGGCCTATGTGGTTTTTGGCTGAAATCGTTTCAAGATATACGATTTCTCCGCTCACAAACATAGGTGTGACACCTTTAGACGCTGTGTCCTCGCGGGCATTAATCGCGTTGCACCTTTTTTTTTTTTAATAGATGGATCAAAATTATTGTCTTTTTCTTATATAAATTTTATAACTAAGAAAGATTGTTATAGCTTGTGATAAAATAATTTTGAATTATATTCATATGACTGTTCGACGTTTGCAACAAGAGATTTTCTTCCTATCACATGATATTCTTTGCACGGTAAATTAAACACGTATACATAACACAGATACATTCTCTAAGCATCCTAATTATACTACCCAACGATATATTAAACAAATAACTAGATATTAACACGTTTTATCTGCGCGGGTTTTTTGCGATGTATCATCATGCATTCTCTTTTACGTCGTTTTCTTGAATTTCTCAGAAGGAAAATTTTGCTGCTCCTTTTTTTATGCATGTCTTAATTTACGTTCTAATACCGTTTGAATAATTATTATTAAAAATGAATAGTGTGTAAATCGATTACGAATAAAATTATATTTTGAAAATTATTACAGCTATTTATAGGTTGATAAATATATAATAATAGAAAATGTATTATCTTTTTTATGTTTGTTAAGATAAAATAAAAATTTTTTTTTTTTTTTGGTTTGTAATAACGAATGTAAATTGCATCGGACATGACGAATGTAAATTACAACATAATATATTTATCAGCTGAATAATCAACATGCGTCACAAAATTGTTCAATGACAGCTATACTTGTCAATATCGATCAGCATGTTATTCATATTATTGAAAACACAAAGACTTTATAAATACTTGCAACTCGAAAAATTTCTATTTACCAGTGAGTTACGAACGGTCGTTAAACAATGTTATGTTTTTCACATAATATATTCGCCGTTCGTTACATTATGTATTGAGTATCATACTGATTTTACAATCATCTGTCTCTTTTTTATAAAAATAGTTGAATTAGTATCCCCGCGATTTTTTCTCATAATTCGCGTGTTGCTTTTTTAAAAGAAGCAAGATGAATAGGAAATAATTCTTAAATATGCAAAATGCAGCGCAGCTTTTAAATACAAAGCCAAGTCATTTTCGCTCACCTTTTTTCCCGTAAATCGACGTGGTAGCAGCGCGAGAGTGCACCAAGCGAAATGTAGTCGTGCAAGAGGTGGGCGCCCGTTCATACGTCATTCGGACGACATGTAAGTGCGACATACGTACGGCCTACCGTACGCAGGTATAACATATGAGCGCGATGACGTAACAGCGGATCACGTCGACGGGTTAAGTATGGAGTGGTGTGGCGTGGCGCGGCACCAGTACGTCCCTTTAATGTCCCTTTTGTTAACTCGCGACCGGGCGTCAAATAAATCCGGGTGACTCTCTCGACCGTAATAATTAAAGCCTCTGCGAGTCGGAAGTCGACACGACGGGGCGACTGGGCGAGTAGAAAGGCACGCGTGCACGCGCTTCCTCCCTTGGTGAATGACACACGTGCATTATGACAGGCGGACGTCTTTATTGTTTGCAGGCTAGTCCGACTCACCTAAGGAGTTACGTAATCGCAACAGGTGTCTCTTTCTCTCCTTCTCTCCTTCTCTTTTTTACAGCCACGTGTTCAAACTCTGTTTACGAACCTATGTTTCGCGACGATTTGACGCGTAATTGTGTTTGGCGACGTCGAGTCTCTCCGGAATTTCCTGGCAATCCTCACGGCTACGCATTATTAAGCAGATGCGTACTCACAGAAATATTTTCCTTATCAGAGTTACAGTGTAAATGTTGAAAGTTATAGATAATGCTTGTATTTTTCCTCTCGAAATTATTATTACTGAAATTAGGTCACATTATAAAATCTTTATCAGCGTGAATAACTTTAAAGTTTAAACGTCTTGTCTTCAACACGCGATATAGCGTCTTAAATTATTTTACATAAATTGTAAAATTTATAACTTCTTTTTCAATTAAAGAAAAAATACAGCAGGAAATATATAATATCGATACTGTGTGATATGAATTGACAAAGTCATTCATAAGGGTATAAAAATTATCTCCAATAAGTATGATAGTCGTTAGCTCGCTGTTTCCATTGACCAATAAAAAATAAATTCGATTGATTTACGAGACAGAGGAAGGGAAGTCGTTTTACGCGCGTGATCACAATACCTTTATTCTCACTTGCGTATTGCAACAATGATGTCATTGATATAAAATTCCCTTGGGACTCTTCGCGACATCCGGTTTATGCGATATAAATTTTCTTTACGACGGATTGCCTTTCGACATGAATGAAGACAAAATAAACGTAAAAACGTCTAAAAAATATACACATGTAAATCAGTTCAATATGTACACGCGGTTAATATTATTTTAAAAGTATCTATTATTAGCTGAGCACAACAGATGGCACATACGATGATTCATGCGAATAAATGTGACCTCGCGATAAATGCATTGAAGCAGGAAGATATATATTATTGTCACAACTGCAGCACACCAACTACAACCGGTTTCGCGATTGCGATTGTAACCACGGAAATTGTAATGCTACATGTCCTTACATATGATACGTATGTTCGGTATAAGGTTGATGCGAATTATAATCAACAAGTCTAACAATAAAATACAGATAACATTTTTTTCCGAATACTAAATCGGTTTTTCAAACAGATCAAGACTAATTTTTATATATGGCTATTCATATGATGAATATATAGCAAATTTTTACAGCAGGTCCTGTTAAAACTTCAAATTAATTTTTTTGTTTAATATTTTCTTATTGATAATTTATCATTATCTTCTAAATATCTGCGCGTAGCATATTTAAATTATTTAAATGTTATCGTCCAATATAAATGATTTCCACGAATGTGATATAGGTAGACAAATAATCAACAACATGCGTTGTTTTCGCTATTAGTTTATTCGACTATTTTTTACGTAAATCGCACGCCTAAAACAATTGTTTTATTGAAATCAATTTCTTAATTATCTCTACTGCATACTCAACATTAATCTTATTTTAATTTTTTGGCAAATAAAAGCCGACGCGCGGTTATTAGTGCGTAAATTTTTGTTGTTTCATTTCATTGACAAGTATGCATTAAATATGTACGTTTTGGACGATTTTTAGTCCATTTTCATAGATAACAAGATATAAAAATTAAATTTGTATTTAAATCTTAAGAGGATGCCGGATACCGACAGAATGCGAATATTAGTAGGATTGCAAAATATTTTTGTTGATTATAGATATCAACAAATCCTTTTCCATAATTAAAGTATACATAATAACGGAGTGCGGGGTTTATGATTTCATATGAAAAGTGAAAAAAAATTAAAAAATTACAGTTTTGTTATCGGCTTCTGCAGTCAACATTTACTTAATATAAAAAACCTGCAACCTGCACGTGCCTAACAAGTGAACTCCGCACTCGGCATTTTATCAAAAAGTATTAGTGAACTTCGAGAAGTGAGTTTAGAAGCTTTATAAAAAAGATTTTACTATGCAACATTTTGCACACCGAAATGTTTCTTACTAGGCTTTCAAATACATTTTCAAACGTTCACTTATATTCCTTCATGCATTTCCGAGTGGAGAGGTATCCTATTTTGCACGTACACACCGCAAAACCCTTATATTAAGCAAATATATAATTATTATGGCCGGTAAAACAGGACGGTCCGGCATCCTTTTAAATACGCTTAGATATGCGTGCGAGGCAATAAGAGCAGTAAAAAAATTTAAAAATTACAGTTTTGTTATCGGCTTTTGCCGTCAACATTTACTTAATATAAAAAATCTGCAACCTGCACGTGCCTAACAAGTGAACTCCGCACTCGGCATTTTATCAAAGAGTATTAGTGAACTTCGAGAAGTGAGTTTAGAAGCTTTATAAAAAAGATTTTACTATGCAACATTTTGCACACCGAAATGTTTCTCACTAGGCTTTCAAATACATTTTCAAACGTTCACTTATATTCCTTCATGCATTTCCGAGTGGAGAGGTATCCTATTTTGCACGTACACACCGCAAAACCCTTATATTAAGCAAATATATAATTATTATGGCCGGTAAAACAGGACGGTCCGGCATCCTCTTAACATACGAAATATTAGTTGTTACAATCGAAAATCAAAATTGAAATCGATAAGTGATAAATGACATTGTGTGATGTGTTTTATAAGTGTTTTATAAATTACATCAATTTCAATTTTGATTTTTGATTGTTATAACTAATATTGCACTTGTTAAGGTTTAAATACGGATTTAATTTTTTATATATTGTTATTATCTATGCTGAAGATGGACTAAAAAATGGTCCGGAACGTAGATATTTAATGCATATTTGTGATAAAGCATACAATGAGATTAAACAACAAAAAATTTGCTCATTTACCAGTTTCCTCACCTAGTATCGTTAGTACTCTGAGCCTATTGCTATTATTATCTTATTTTTTTACACGTTTATGTAACATTTTCTCTCTCGCTTACAATTTCTTAACGAAAACGAATCTTTTGATCTTCCAGGTAAGCGGGTGGGAGGCGCTGCTGACCGGTGGCGGCGGCGGCCATGCGCCCCGGCCCGCCAGTACAGCCGAGCCGCCGCAGGTCTCCCCGTCGCCAGCATCCGCGCCAGCAGCAGCTTCATCGGGAGCGCGACCGTAAGCAGCAGCGGCAGGAACATCGTCGTCCGTCGCATCTGCTGCCGCGGCCGCGCGTCAACGGTCCGCGCGCCCTCCTGGTACTGCTGCTACTGGCCAGCAGCCCCCTGGTCCTGGGTCAGGCCCAAGAATCACCGCCAGTTCAGTGCCAGCAGGCGCCCGTCTCTCATAAGAATCTGTGGTCGGGGGGCGATAACACGGCGGCCCAGCCGCTTCTATGGAACTTGACCATCGGCTACCTCACCGCTATCAAGGGCGGCCTCAAGGATCGTCAGGGTCTCGCCATCTCTGGCGCTCTGTCCATGGCACTCGACGAGGTAAGGCATGATCTTTTTTCGCACTTTGGAGATTCTCCAGTATCTATCTCAAATAAAATAGAGTGGACTAGATGAACGAACAAATGATGTTGTGAGCAGGTACACAACATATATATTGTAAAAAAAAAAACAAAAGAAAAAAAAACGGAATCCCCATTACTCTTTTACATCTTTTCGCTCTATTCTCGCTCGTACTATGTTTTCTTCAGGTAATGCGTGAAATACGCGTGACTCGGCTGTTATTGTTATCGAAGAGAATGACGTCGATTATGCGGAATCGGTTGTACTTCGTACGGTTTTAAAAGCGTTTAAGAGCGTTCTATTGATACATTGCGCGCTGTAATCGGTAGCCGGAGTTTCTTGGAATAGGAGAACTACCGTCTGCGTTACTCCACGAAGTCGTTTGCTCGCTCATTGCGATGCGCGTGTTGCATGAACACGACCAATCATAACGATGCTGTAAAAGATCTTTGAACCCGCTGCTGCTGAATTTCACAGGAGATTACAACGTTATTCTCTGCTCGCCGTAACAGCTGCTAATGACAGCTCGTTGATGCTATTAGTTTACACGGTGCATTGACGGTTGGCCGCGGTCGGCAATCTGAATCCGTAGTCAGAATTGGATGGTGCTTGTCAAAATTTATATATATATATATATAATCGCAATATTCTAAGACGAGCCTCAGAAAAAAGAAATTGAGAGAGATATGTATACAGCCACTTCCTTCAAATTTCATTTGCCTTCGACGCGATTTCGGACTCTGCAACCTCATACCTTTTTTTTTTAGCACATCCCGCTTCCTGCCCGCGTTACACGTCAACTGCGAAATTATAACGTGTACGGAAACTCTACTTATTGATGCGGAATGTAACTCTTTCTATTAAGCTTATTTCAAAGCGAATTACGTCACTCACCGATCATGCGAATAGTAATAGCATCTTATACTTTATTTGCTATTAACCACCGACATTGTAACCGAAAAAGGTCGACACGTGGAACCAATTTGATGAGACGTAAATTTATAGATTCTACACAAGTATTTTAAGGGGAATCAAGACTTGGACGAGATCTCATTATACCTCAATAAAATACTGTAAAGTTGGACGAAAATTAGATCGTAAGAATGACTCTGTTTTGTATTGGTTAAATTGGATCTAATTAATATATATATGTAATTATCTTTTTATCTCATTTCTTTTACGCGATTAAATATTTCTCATAAAATTACTCAGAAAATAGAGGGAATATTAAGGGGATGTTTTTGAATCTATATAGCATTTCTTTAAATCTTTTCTCACGCACGCGAAAATATCTACGTAAATTGAAAGACTAATGTTTAAGACGAAAACTGAATTTTTATAATGCTTACACACTGTAAAGTAGCTTGAGATAAGAGTATGCAATAACATAAAAATATCAGATAAATCAGTATCCCTAAAGTCGGTACATACGATAAGCAAATGCAAACGAATGAACAAGCTTATTTCGATTCGCATCGAAAAGTTAATCGTCGCTAAGGAGCCTACGCATATATACATTCTCCCCACGGATGAGATCTTTAATTCCCCCGCCGAAGAGGGGATCAGTCGATGATCCGGCTCTCGGATCCGTTCCGAATCTCCTTCGATTACCCAACCAACGACAACACAACGGCCACAATATCCAGTGCTTTATTTTTTTTCCCTTCCCCCGATCCTGCCGTATTCCTTGCTGCTCGCTCAGGTCGACCGTCCCGCTCCAAAAGCCTCGATAATTCATTCGGCGGATCCCCTATCTCTCTCCTCCTTCTCCTCCCCCCTCCTCCCCCGGATGTCTCCCGCGTATCCATAGGGGACCGTGAGACCGTTTTCGCCCGGGTGTGTTGCACGCCGGTTAAAGAGGAAGTGTGTGTGTAAAAAGAGAAAGGTACGCGCGGCTCCCGCTCGCCGCGGGGGCAGAAGTGACCCGGCGATTCCTCTCCGGATCGAGGGCCGAGGGAGAGGCGCGCCGAGAGATGCCCCTGCGAGGGTTTAAAAATACAAGACCGGCGTTATTCGCCGGTCCGCCCACGCGTGCCGACGAAACGGCGCTCTCTCGCGCGAACCGTGAGAAGAATTCGCTCGCGAGTTCGGGAACGCGTATCCACCTCTTCCCCTCCGTCCTCCTCCTCTTCCCTTTCTTTTCCTTCCCGGCCACTCGTCCCTTCCTTGTCCTCCCCCACCGCTTTTTTCTTCCCAAACCTTGCCTCGACTCTTGCAACCTGCGACCGCACGTGAGGGATCGAGCGAACTCGATAGAAGGGAAAAGAAGAAGAAGCAGCGGAGAAAAGGGTGAAGGGGGGGAGGGGGGGGGCAGAGAACCGTGCGAATCATCGAAATGAGCGTCGATCTTATCACGACACGCGATATCCGGGTGTACGTGAAAATATAAGGCGGCGTTATCTTCGGTGATTAATTGCCGCGTCGATCGTAACAGAGGAGTGTAAGATCGAAAGTGTCAAGCATTATTAATCCGAACGCGTGGGGAAGCATCGGTGGTTAAATTCCTCCGTCAAATACCTCTCCTTTCGATTTATTATCTCATCGAATGGAGCAAGCATTTATTTACCTTTTAGTCCCGAAATTATTCGTAAAGATTGTTTAGCAATTTTTGAGAAATATGAATGGCTTTGTATATTCTTTAAAGTATTTTAAGGATTATAATCTCTCGAGCAAAGCCTGCAATCGTCAACAACTAAACTATTGAAAATGACCGCAATTTAGAAACGAAGCAATCAGCGGTGAACGAAAATACGGATTATAAGAATGAAACGCGCGTATTTTTAGAATAATCTACGTAAATGTGTATGTACACGCGCGAGATATATTCGTTTTCTTTTGAGAAAAACCAAAAGGAAATGAAGTCTAACTGGCTCGTTGTGTTTCCGCGCTCCACGATGAAATTTCTCTTTCAGCAGTTCGATGCACCGCGTGCAGTTGCAACGATAAACGCATAATGACTCTCCTCACTGCGATGCATGCCCGCGCATTCAGCGAGTCGAAAGGTGCAGGAAACGAGCTTTGCGGCCGTTTATTTATATCCTCCGATATGCCACGCAAGAGTAAGCATCGCGATCGCAATGTCGGCCTCTGTGTTCGCGGTTGGAATAAAGCTTGATTCACAAATGCGCGTTCTCCCAGCACGTTGCCTGTCGATGTATATGTACGATACGATACGAGCATCTTGTTCTTAACAAGTAACCTTATCCTCACATTTCTGCATGTCATAGGGCTTATTTTAGCGATGCGACCTTATCGGTTATCGACCCGTTAATGACGCAAATTGTTACGCTACGAAACCGATGATAATTAAAGTTCAATCAGTTTATTACACTGTTCTAGATAATAATTTGTTGCGATAAGTTGCGACTGTACGCTTGATTATCATATTAGCGAATATTATATGAATATTAAATGAATATTGATATTTGTTTATTATAAATATTAGATGAATATATTTGTTTATTATAAATAAGAAAATAAAACTTATCAATTTTTGTTACATTATAAATATTGGAAATGGTCGAATTTCTCGCCGATGCAATAGATGATAGTGATTGAGGCTCTTTTTTAATTGAAAAATTCTGTATGCGTTACGCTAGTAACATGTTTTTTTATCGAGAAACGATAAATGTTAATAACTCTCATTTCATTTATCTATCTTATACAAATCTCTAATGTATTATTAGACGTATCTCGTAAAGTCTATGCATATTATATGTAATGTTAGAGTTATATTAACATAACGTTAAATATTTTTATATTGTTTTTAAATAGAGTAATACACACTGATCATTATAGAAATGGACATTTAATCGTCGATATTAAATATCCTCGGCAATAATATTTTGACGTTTCATTTAATGTCGTTGTATATATTGCCATCCATTAAAACTTAATCTTTTGTTTGCTTTCAATGGATAATCTAATCTCATATACTATGTTTAACTAATGAATATAAGACATAACGACGGTTTTTGAAATCTTGTTTATTTTTGCTATAACATTCCTCGCAATCTCTTATGTTTTCTTTTCTTTTTATTCAGGACGGATAGCATTTATTGTAAATTTAATACTGAAAAAATTTTAATGTTGCAAGTAAGAATGCAATTTTATTTAGATTAAAATCAAAACAATCATATTGAATTAAGATAGCGAAGACATCACGAATTATTGTGTACGGAAAACAGTTTCACGATATGTTGCGGCCAACGTGCCGTTTCCTATAGTGTACGTAGACTTTTATACCGCACGTCAAGTCATTAAATTTAACAAAATAATATCCAAGTTTAATAAAAATATGCAAGGATATCACATCAGATCGCACGTGTGTGAATCGATCTTAATACTCGGTTCGGTCACGGCGATCGCAAGTGCAGGATACAGGTGTTACAGTACCACCTTGCGCGTGCGCGCTAATCCAGGCGTTTCGCTCGCGGGTATGCGGAAAAAAAAAAAAAAAAATCGTGGAATTTTCACTCGCCATGCGCACTCCCACGATGTAAACTAGTTTCACCCGGGGTTCGGTATATTTGTAAATAGAGCGTTAATTGGCAATTTCGCATAATCGGCGCGAGAGAGTCGCCGTAATGGGCGCGGGCGCACTTGGCTCTTTTAAACGCGCATATCGCAATCGTATTAATATCCGTTCGCGGGTGGGTAAAACGATCCGCATGTGTGGCTGTAAATTGCCCCGCGTATAAAGTCGATCTCTATTAATAAATAATAAGGCGCGCCGGCGTGCAACGTCGCTACTGTTGACCTGACTCTTGATGAAGGAAGTATAATTTAAATAAGCGGCGCGGATTAAGGAGGAACGCGCCGGACTTTCACTGCGCCAGAGAGCAGAATTTTTCGCTCTGCTGCGGTTATAACGATTTGTGGAACGAAGTATGAGATATTGGGTTGAAAAAAACAGACTGACAATTGACAGGTCGATCGGTCGCTGAATAGAATCGAAATAGAATCGAAAAGTGATTTACAATTTTTAATTTTGTTAACACATCGTATTTTTTGAATATGTTTGTACGTTTTCCGTGTATTTATTTTGATTTTATATCGCGGAAAATATGTTTTCTCTTCAACATGTAAATGCGCAGCTGTTATGATTTGGAAAAATATGAAAATGTCATTTAACAGCATCAGCGTCCATTCACGTAAAGATATAATTGATATGCAAATTACGCGCTACAAATATGATGATTGGACGCGCTTGCGTATGTGGCTCATGCAAAATCAGGAATGCTAGGCATCTAACGGAAAGTAATGTTTTTTTTTCGTTTTTTTTTTTTCCGTGGTATTTCACGAAACCGCTTTAACGGTGCTGTAACAAGCGAGGACTGTACAAATTCATGATGCTGTCATGTGAGCCTCTCAAAAGCTAGACTAATCAACTTCACTTTTATTTCATTTCTTTTTTAATTTTCTTAGAGCACATATTCACAATGCTGTATGGATCTAAAATTAAGAAATTTACAAAAAGTGAAGTGAATCAGTTTGGTTTTTGAGAGGTTTTTTGCGCAGTAGTGGTAGTTGCCTTTCGATAGGATTAATAAGTATAGAGATTTCTCTTTTTATCGCTCAATTTTATCTTCAATCAATAATATTAATTCATTTTTCTTTTATTTCTTACAACCATCAATGGAATTTTTGTTAATGCAAAGGCATTTCAGTTTATAAGATGATAAACTTTGTTAAGTAGTGTAGCGACTTGTTGAATAGAATGTCCTTTTATTGCCGCGTTTATATATATATCTTATGTAAATTTAAAATTATTCCATCATTTATGTTTTAATTGTATATGTTTTACCTTTTCACGACGTGATCTGTTTGATTACATTTCATTAGTAATTCATTCCACGGACATTTAAATGTCATGGAAATGACTGTGATAAAGTTGTCAAATTCTTCTACCTTTGTGTTTACAACTAGTATTATTCATCTTCTTTGTATTAAGAAATTTCTGCAAAGCGGACGCATATGCTTTGGAACGTGTCAATTTATCTTACAAGATAATTACATGATATCACGAACCTAGTGATAAACCTCTTACTTTGGATATAGCGTTAATAAATTGTAGAGGAAAAATCATGGATGTAGAATAGTATGTAATTTTATAATACATGTTATACAATGTCTAGTTTCTATTCATGATTCACGATGATGTAATTATATATATTATATATTGAATTTGATCATGTAAATTAACACGTTTCATTGTCTACATCTACATTATAGAGTAAGTGAATCAATACCAGATGAATAATGTCCAGTAGATTTTGCAAAAATACACAGTTACTCAAATCGCCGTCTTATAATTTTTGAGTCAATATAAGTTACATTTTCAAAAACTTTGAATTTCTATACATTTGGAGAGAGATTTTTTAAATCGACTAAAAATATTTTAATTCAAAAAAAAATTTTTGCATGTGTTTTAAAATGTTATTTATATTATATAAATAAATTTTCTTAAACTTTCAACTTTAATTTTTTTTTAACTTTTAAAATTTTTGTTGGTAATCAATTATTTCTGACGTCATGTATTTGTAATGTGTTTATTTAAATTATATTCTATCATAAAATTCAAAGCTTGATATGGAGTTGGAGAACTATTCCTACATTTTCATTGTGAATGAAAGCTGAAAAAAAAATTGTACTTTTTTTTATCGAAATCAGTTGAATTCCGTTAACATTAATCAGTATCTTTATACGCCATGTGTATCGCGATCTGATCGTTTATATACGCATGGCATAATTCGAATAGATTTATTCCGCTGACTGTGCGAGAATAGCCTGATACAGAGGTCTGTTCCAAGTCGTGCTAGAGTGTACAATGGAACCGCGATAGCGCGGCCCGCAAAAGGGCTTATTGCACGTGTGCGAACTTTTCAACGACGATGGCCGTGTCGCCGACGGTTATAATTTCAGCTCGCATTGCCAGGCATGTAAATTGGCGCGCCGTCGAAATGGCTGTACGCGGAAAAGTATTGTTTGCTGGAATTCAAATTTGCATAATAACCAAGCATATGATGTGTAGACGCGAGCCGGATATACCGGGTGAACCGTAGGAATGCGCATCAAGAAATAAAACCGCGAGACACCATGAGTAATACATACGCCGAGTCAGCTATTATGGTAAACACATGTATGATGCACATACGTGTGAACCTCTCACATTTATATTGTAATATAAATCGATAAACTTTACCGTACAGGATCGATTGCGATAAATTTACGTGATTTTATCGCGTAATTGCGAACGATTAAGCAACTGTTATTACACAATGAAAGCTTATCGTTAGAAAATGGCTTCATTAAGTTGCGGTAGCATCGACATAAAATTTTTTGCGGACTATACAAATTTATATCACAATTGTGATGTAATCATGAATATGAGAATAATATTCAATTCTATTTATATAATAATATGCGAATTTTCAAAGAGATACAAGATAATTAAAACATGATCTTTGCCTTCTTTTGTGCAAGACATCAAAAAGAAATTTTTCCTTTGATTATATCTTGTCTTTATTTTCACTTGGAACTAACGGATAGTTATATCATCGTGTTTCAGATCAACAACGATCCGAACATTTTGCCGAACGTGAAGCTGGTGATGCGATGGGCCGACACGAGGGGAGAGACTACCGAAGCTACCAGTGCAATGATCGACATGATCTGCGACGGGGTCGTGGCCTTTTTCGGACCGGAAGGCTCCTGCTACGTCGAGGCAATCGTCGCTCAATCTCGCAACATACCTATGCTCAGTTATGTGAGTAAATTACGAATTTTTATTTTCCAAATTTTTTTAACTTGATTCTATGCACATCGTCCGTTAATAAATATACTATTATAATTATTACATGAGTTATTAATAATATGTATCAATGAGTACGCAATTGATTGCAGACTCTACACGCGTTTTATCTACTTTTTGACACGGAATGTTTATTTTATTTCGGCTTTTGGAATAAGATTGAAAGTATAAGCTATTTAACTCTTTTTCGCATATTTTTATGTATTAAAATTAATATTGCTATGTGTGAAAAAGATTGTATTAATAGAACTAATTTTAAATAATCAGATTTTAATCGATTAAATTATATCTTTCTATTACAAGTTTATTTAAACAGGTTATTGAATGTTATGTTTATTAATTAAAAACAAACTATGAGAATATTCAGTCATATTGCGCGTAATTAAAAGATAATCATATGTTACTTTGAAACTCCTAGTTCTTTGCTGCAATTATATTTAATTATAATATTAGAAGCAAGAAGTCGTGTAAAGTTTTTCTTGCATTATACATCGAAATAAATTCTTTCATATGCCATCATTCAATTATTTAATGGCATAAATTGATAAAACATCGAAGACTTTCTTTTTTTTCGTGAATAATAAATAGTTAAAAATCTTGATCTGTCAAACGAGTTATTTTTATTGAAAATATAGAACATTTGGAAATTTCGTTGTTACTTTTACTAATGCGGGATAAAAAAGGAGGAATTTTCAAAAGGAATTATAATTTATTAATTTGTACTAATAATACGAATGATATTGCTCATGAAGAAATATTAATTTACTTTGACATATACCGCGATATAAAAAATTACACGATTTTTCCCTTTTGATGTTATAATTCAATGTGGTTGTAGTGAGATACCAAAAAACCTCTTAAAGACGTTATTATCGGAGGCGGGAGAGAACAGAAATCGTCGGAACTTCGTGGCGCGTCGTTACCGATGATTTCGTGCGGACTCGCACAGAGAAACCGGCTGAAAACCGTTTTTTGCCGGCGTGAGAACCATGGGGTTGTACAGGGCACTGACGAGACGAAGTCTTGGGGTCGCGCCGACCGTCTTTCTTGGCGCAGCTTTGCCCAAGAGAGCGGCTCGGTCCACCTTAACGAAGGTGGTGGAGGCGATGGCGGAGGTGCGCTCGACAAATTGAACACCCGCGGCGTGACAATATAATTACGGGCCGTATGCTCTGGGGCGTGCGTGCGTGCATGCGTGCGCTGGTACGATATGCGTGCTACGTCACGACGGAGCACGCAACCGCGGGCTCGATTCGCGCGATTCGATATCGCCACGAAACACAGTCCTCGCGCTATTTCGCGAAATTCATTTTAGATGATATTTAACGCAGAAAGAAAATTAAAATACGAAAAATAAACTTCTGGATTATATCTATAAAATTATAACGTCAGTATGCGTTATTTTTACGGAGGGAGACTATTCGCTGAGTATATGTGCAATAAACCGATGGATTTAAACCGTGGCAGTATATGTAACGAATCGCACTCGTGACACGTTACGCTAATCATATCTTATCAAAGTGAGTTAAAAAATGAAGGCTACGTTGTTTTCTCCTTTATTTATGATATTTCTCCGAAAAAGTAATGTATAGCAATCGTGTATAGCAGTCGAGGAAGGAATAATCTGAGTCACAGATCTTTATCTTATGTTTTGCGGTATTATTATGTAAGTTCGAAGTTATATTATCGTACGATCAATCATTAGAAGGTATAATTAAAAATAACAAGAATTATTAAGTCATTATACTATTTAATATATCGACATTTTTTGTAGATATTATATAAAGCAGCACAATTTTATGAAGTTATAAACCAGAAAATTTCAAAACATTAGTTTTCTTTGCTAGTGGTATTAAACTTATATAACTTTAATTGACATGACTGTTCAATTTATTGACTGCCGGAAACTTCTATGTAAGCTTGCGTAGAGTGACAGTTTAAGTTTAGATATCAAACTGATTGCAACACACACATATATTCACATATATCTTAAAATTTTTTTAATTATCAGAAAAATTTAAATTTTTAATGAGATTATAAAATAAAACAAAATATTATTAATTCAGAATATTATGTTTTGTATAACATCTCCGATATATGCGAATATTTTGCGGGCGTTATATATGTATTTTATTATGAAACACACACATCATTACAACGATTCAGTTCTGCAAAGCACATTTAAATACAATTCGGATTTTTATTATATATTCTTTAACTTCTGCACATTACATAAGTACAATGAGATCATTTTCAATATAATCGATAAAAATATATCCAACGAAATAACTGTTGTTATAAGCGTCGGTTATTCGCGCTCGTATACTTACGCAGAGCCTAGCCTCGTCTCTGTAATTTATTCCAAAGAAAAAGGATTTGCGCGAGCCGGAAAGTCAAGAAACCTAAGCACGTTAAGCCACGGAAAATTAGCCTCGGGTCTTCAATGATGCGCGACCATGCTCGCCACAAAGTCACGAATCCAGCTACTTAACAACATTCCGGCAATGCCAATCGTATAGTCGCATCACCACCTGCAGCCGCACAGACGCATATAAACACGTGGCGTATATGCACCTACGGTTCGAGAATTTCGCTTTGACGTTTTACCGCCGCTTCTACCAACTTCGCGTTTCCTCTTTCCTTTCTTGTGCGGCGATTAAAGTTATTGGCGTTCCTGAGCTTATGTAAAATAATCTCGCGTTTCAGACGAATTGATACGATGACGAACAGCACGTGCGCTTTGTCAATCGATTTATAATGCGATGCAAATTGAAAGTGACATTTAAATATCGTGAATGTCGTCATTATTTTTCGATATAATTTACTTTTTAGGTCATATTAAAGGGAAGTAATAAAAAATATATTTTATTATGATAAATTAATAATTGAAAATATTTCTTCGTATTTTATTGAACGACAACAATTAATGACAAATAAAATTTATAATTAAATGTAGCAAAGTTGTGAAGTTGCATAAAATTTAATTTTGTTAGTAAACATTTATCACAGAGATATCTCTTTAATATGAGATATACAAGAAGATATATTAGAGATATACTAAAAATAATATCGGCATTCATTGTACGTAATTTTAAATTCATATTGGGAAATTTGTAATTTGCATGAAATAAAATAAGCCGTGTATGAAATCGAATGACATCTCATGTTTTCGTGAAAGTTGCCGTGATAGGGGCAGAGGTCCCTCGTGAAATGAACCGACGAGTCGGTTGTGGAAAAGCCGTCCACTGTGCGTGATTATTTATCGCTGTGGAAAGTTTCGATCGCAATTGCCTTCGACGAGGTGACTCGTTGATATAAATCTTTTCCGCGATTAACTTTAAGCCCACCAACTGATTGGTCGATCGAATTACAGTACGCGAGAAGAGACTCTGATCGCGATTTAAAGGATGCCCATTCAGAGACATATTTTGGAATGAATACACGTGAAAGTGATATCCGAACGCTGAAAAGACCTTCGGATTAATTTATGTTAATTCGCAGTGAAAGAAAAAAAATAAGTACGCAAACGATCGACGGAAAATAAGGATAAAAAAATTACTGTCCGATTTCTTGTTGCACTTTAAATTCGTAAAGTATTTATGCCGTATTTATAAAGAAAGTATAACGAACGTGTATAAAAAAAAAAAACCCGCGTTGGACAGCATCGATTATTTCGATACAAGAATCTTCAGTATTCTTTGATACAAAAAGAGAAAGAGAAGATCGGGGGCGATTGAACGAGAATGTAAGTGGCCCTTCTCTTGGCACGTGAGGGACAGTACATAAGTATAAGGAGCTACCACTACATTTACTTTCACCTAGTTTCACTCGTCGTTCGCTGGCAGAAATCGCGCCGCAAATTTGTGCGGATTCCATCAATGGGGGGACCTTGTTCTCGCGGCAGGTGTAGTTAAATTTCGTCGAGCGACGGGTTTTTTTTTCACCGACGCATTTTGCCGTACGGATGTTTATCGCGCGCTTACGTTGTCGTTTCCGGTAGATTGTTTTCTCTCTATTGCCGTCTCAGCGGTGGACTTTTATGCCTGCGAGCATACACGAAGCATTAAGATATATATATATGTATACTATTAGTCTTTTTGCCTGTTTATTGGTCTAATCAGTTTTGAAAGAGACGGAGGTCCCGCCGAGAGAGAGAGTGCGATTAGAATGTAAAAATAGAAAGAGAGAGAGAGAGAAAGAAAGGTATAAGCTAATTTAAATTTTTAATTTAAATTCAAGTATAAGTTACAGGTTAAGTTGTAGATGTTAAGATTTTAGATTTAGATATAAGGTTTATAGGAGATGTGTATATGTGTATGTGTGTGTATCAGTAGTTATTATTTTTAAGAGATTTAAGGCTGTGTTTTAGTTTAAATGTGTTTGAGATGTTATGTTTATTTTATATATATATTTTTTCTTTTTTATTACTTTGTATTTTGCGATATAAATGTGAAATGGTTGTCCTTAAGGGATCAGTAAAAAATCTATCTATCTATCTATCTATCTTTTCGCCTGTTTATTTTTGATACGCAGGTTTGTTGCTTCTTCTAAATTTTTGCAAAATGAAGAAATCATTTAAGTGATTAATATATATGTAAAACCTAAAACTTTTTTATACATTTTTTTATACATTCGATAGCTTCAAATTTCGAATAAAGTATATATTTATTTATTTAGTATAAAAAACTATTTTAATTATGAAAAATTTATTAAATTTGTAAATATTCGACATCGCGCGTTAAGTAACTCATTAATATATAGTTTCACGAACAGGTGCGGATGCATGCCATATTCCGTACGAGACCACGCATTTCTTGGGAAAATAAAAAAAAAAAAAAAAAAAAAAAAAAAAACATGATAATTTAGATAAATCTTTCATCTATCACGCGATGCTACTTTGGAAAGTATTAGTCATATTAATTCTACACCATGTGATACATAAATCAACAATTGTAGTGCGAAGATTTAATACTTCTTACAAAGATACATACACATGCATTACATACAGATGCATTTTCCGGATTCATGGTGCAAGTGTCGAGCAAGCAACTCGATTGCGTGGGTCATCTTGCTTGCGCGTCGTTCACATCGAGGCAGCATCCATTTAGGTACATATCCGTAGGTGGACAGCGAGCCTCAATGCCCACCTATGCGGCAGCAGATATCTCTCGCAAGGCGTATGGGGTACTACGCAAACCGCGATGGGG